ACTTTACACGTGCATAATCTACAGGGGTTTAGGGGTCAGGGGTTTGGGGTTTAGGGGTTTAGGGTTGCTTCTATTTTGCCCCATGGCCTTCTGCTGGTTTGGCAGGAAAAGCCGCTGAACCTCGGTGGACAGGCTCAGGCTCAGGGGTTGCACACTGGGTTTCTGCTTCCGAGGGTTGTTTCCAAGTGAGCCTGGACAGTCAGAGCTTGCTGGCCGATCGAGGTCGCGATTCTAAACACCTGGAATCAAAACTGAGCCCTTCTCAGGTCGCGCCTGGCCTAATACCCTTAACCCCAAGACCTCAAGCCCTTAACCCCAAACCCTGGCGCGCTAAGCCCAAAGCTCTCAACCTGAGGCTTCTGATTTGGGGGACCCTTGGGGATATAGACCCTCTCAATCAGGTCACTTTGAAGAGAGCCAGAGAAGTAGGGCTAAGAAGGGTCCCCTTGAAGGGGTCTCCCTAAGACTACCTAGGAAACAAGCCTGAGGCTTCTTCCCTATACTATAATGTGGGGGCCTTGATAATTAGAATAGGGTTTGGGGGTTCCTTATTAAAACTGTATTATAATATACCCCAAACCCTAGTCGAAATATTAAGGCCCCCTTTGTTCGACAAGAGCAAGCCCGAAGCTTCTTCCCGAAACCTTTATAAACGCTAAAAGATCTAAACACCAGAAACCCCACCTTGCGCATCAACGCCCGAATCCTAGCGAACGCCCCTGAAATAAACAGGAACCTTGTTCCTCCAACCCTAAACCGAATTTAAGTAAGGCCATCCCGAGAAATAGGAAGAACGAACATATCAAATTATATAAACAGTGTTCCTCCAACCCTAAACCCTTTCACTTTTAAGACCACCCCGAGAAGTAAACACAAAAACACCCAAAGGGGTAGTTCTCTAAATTAGGGTCTCTTTTTGGATCCCCAATATAGTACGGCAACCTTATAAACAGGACCCCAAAAGGGACCCTAATTTAGAGAACTACCCATATCTCTCTGCATCGGAGAGGCCGCTTCCGTGCTCAACTCTCCTCCGTAGACCAGCTCCTCACAGAAAGCCCTAAGCCCTAAAGCCTAAACCCTAAATCTTAAACCCTAAAGCCTAAAGCCTAAACCCTGACACCTAAAGCCTAAAGCCTAAACCCTAAACCCTGAAACCTAAAGCCTAAAGCCTAACCATAAATCTTAAACCCTAAAGACTAAAGCCTGAACCCTAAACCCTAAAATTAGGAGCCAAGGGCTTCCAAAGGCTTCCGGGAAGTTGAGCTTAGGGCTTTTAGGGGTTGAGGGGTTTAGGGTTTAGGGTTGAGGATTTCGCGGAATAGGGGCTAAAGGTTTCTAATTAGGGTTTTAGGGGTTTGGGGAGTTTAGGGCTTTTAGGCTTTTAGGGGTTTAGGATTTAGGGCTAAGGGTTTGGGGGAGAGTAGGGGTTCAGTGCAACCGGATTCCTTGGAGGTTTCCTTTAGGGGTTCTTTGGGCTATGTGAGGGAAGTGATATTCAGTTCCAACTAATGAAAGGAGAACCGTGCAGGAGTGCTACGTCCCCACACTGCCAAAAAAACCTTCAACCCCAGAAAACCCGTGCACGATGACAACAAAAGGAAACGCAATCGCCTATGCACAACAAACAACTATACCCTAAACCCTAAATAACCCTAAACCCTAGCCCTCATCCGGCGACTTCGATGAAGCCTTCGGAGGAGTATTGCCTAGTGGTGCCCCAGTGAACCCAATACCCCTTAATTAAGG